ATATATATATATATATATGTATGTATGTATGTATATATTCAATTACTACTTTCTGAAAGTTTCATTAAAACGTTTAAGGCCAACATTTTAAATAAATAATTTGGTTGGTCTGCTAGAGCTTAGGGTATGTGTTGGGGAATGATGCTCAGATGCTAACACACCAAATTTAGGTCAGTATCTATAAAATTAACTGAGTTTTAGTAATGTTTGTGTTTGTTAGTTGATTACGTGTAACAGCTATCTTAAAACATGTTGACTCCAAATGCTATTTAGCTCTAGATGTTGTATATCCAGTGATAACTTTCTGCAAGTTTTATCAAAATTCTTCCATTGGTCCACAAGATATTTTACTAACAGCAGACAAACAGACACATACAGAAGCAGTTACATCATCGCCCACATTTCACTTCTACAGGCAGTAATGAGGTGCACAAAGTGTGTCATCTAGGACTGTTCCTTTTCAGGCTATTGGTTGGGCATGATATTAATATTGTTTTATTCAGAACTGTAGTTGGAATTTGATCCATAACAAACTATTGAAAAGCATATTTTAATCAGTCAGCTTTCAATTAGGGGAATGATTAATACCTCCTACCATTTGCGTAGTTCTGATGTATTGTTGGGTTGAGTAATGATGCAATAAATCCATGAGCGACTTGATCGACAAGGAAGAAAAGAGCTTTATTGTTCCTGTCTGAAATTGCTTATTTGTTTCATTCATTGATCTGAAATGATTTACCGGTGCTTGCGTCTCTCCAGCTGAATTTCTGCTTTGAGTGTTGTTTGGTTTGGGCGGAGAGGTGGTGGGTATTGATGCCATCATCTTGAGCTGTACACCAACCATTATTTTGGGGATTTTTTTTAAATGATTAATTCATCAAGTGAATATGTGAGTAAGTTAGCAGGAAACTGTTCCTTCCGTGCCGAAATGACAAAGCTGTTGTTTTACTGGCATTTTACCATAAAAGGGATTCCTGGGTGTTAAAGCGCAAAAAGCTTCAGATGTCGGATCAGGAAAGTTGACCTCTCTTTACACGATGCACCCAGCAGTAAAAACAAAAGCATCACATTTCTCTCGGGCCGTTGGGAACAACTTCAAACGTCGTCTCGGGCTGCATGATACTCATCAACACACTCTGCTCCAGTTCAGAGATATCAGTTTCATTTCTATGCTAAGTGACACACTCTTGTTTCTGAAAGGTGGTTTACTGGGAGGATGACACCAAGCCGGAGACTATGGGGAAGGTCAGAGTGCCATGGAACCAAACCTCGGTCACAGTAAACAGCTTGGCAGTGAACACGCAGTATTTTCTAACAGTCAGCGCCTTCAACACGGCGGGCACTGGCCCTTTCCTCCCTGCCATCAACGTCACCACAAAAAAGCCACGTGAGTTGCAGCACAACTGTTAGAAAAGGCAGCGGCTATAATGACTTATTTTAAAAAGCTGTTTTAGTTGTGCAGAAGAGCACTGAAGTGTGTTGATAAATGTTTTCATCCTCTGTTATCATTCCTGGAAGCAGTCTGATATGGTGTTACGATAATTCGGGTTTACCGATGAGACTGTAATTTGTTTCTGCGTTGACACAGAGAAATAAATAATTTTTATATTGTGCAGCGCCAGCCCAACCACCGCTGAATATTGAATGGACCCTAATTGGCTCTCAGCTGTCTCTTTACTGGGAGCCTGTGGTGGCGATGGATTCAGAATCAGAAGTCACAGGCTATCAAGTGAGTTCCTTTGTGATAACATGTTTATTAATGTTCCGGATCAGACTGCGAGAATGCTCAGGCTCCACGAACGCGTATTTACTTTGTGTCTCCTGCCTTGTTTCCTTTCTTCGTTCAGCTTTCATACTGGAGACAGAGACACAAAGAGGTAAACACGTTCACAACAGCCAATTCAACAGCGGAGCTGACCCTCCCCGAGAGCGACAGCGACTTCATCATTCGAGTTCAGACGCTGAGTGAAGGAGGACTGGGTCCACCCTCGGATCCCATTCGAATCCACAAACTCAGTAAGCTTGCTGTTTGTGTTTTATCCAATCGTAGTGGGTAAAAGGTTTGATTGTAGATTCTAGGAGAATAAGAAGATCTACCCTCTGGTTTTTACTTTTATTTTTTTACTTTTTACTGACTTTTTAAAACGAAATCACTCAACTCTTTTTAATTCTGACAGGAACAATTTGTCCTCACTCGTCTCAGCATTACTAATGTCCCTTGCCTCCCTCATTGGGCTCATCTGGGCTTTTGTTTTGCTGAAATGCGCAGCGCAATCCGTCTCTGTCGCCAACTTTCTATTTATTAGACGTTATTACTTTCCCGTGGGACTCGTTTTTGCTGTTAAATGTTGGATTTCTGTTTGGAATCCCTGAAAACAGCAGTTTAGGGAGAATTAGAGTTCTACGCTGGCTTTTCTTTTGCAAATAAAAAACTACTTATTTTCCCTTAAGGTACTTAGACAGAAAGTGAAATATGTGGGCAAAACACATTAGCAGGTACAACATAAGGCAAAAAGTGGTCTTTAATGTGGTTTGGAATATGTCTTAAGCATCAGTTATAACTTTTTTCTGTAAATATTACTAATTATAGGGTAAGGTTCATGAGTGAACTCACTCACTTACATGATGCAGTTTGAATGTTAATAGGTCAAAGGTTTCTTGTCGTATTGTATCTTTACAAGAGATTTATAGGTAACATATGACATTTTGCCATGTTTTTAACACAACGTTAGAACATGAACCTTTAGTTTTTTTTTTTGTTTGTTTATTTTTGTTGTTTTGGTATAGAATTTTAAAAAGTGGACAATAGAGGCCTAAAATGCTATCTACAGCACATAAAATAGTCTGAAAGTTAAGAAAAAAATCACACTGTCTTACTCAAAACTGCATGTTGCATGACTCATGTCATGACCAGTAATACTATTGATAATTATTATACCAAGCATCACTTCAAAGTTGGTTGGACTAGCCCCTCTCTAAAATTTGTCAGAAAACGAGTGGAAAAACACCCACAGTCTGACTCCACAAAAGGAAAGTATTAAAATTACTCAATACTTTTGAACAGCAGTGAATATACAGCTGAATTGCCAATGAATCAAATATAACACTATAAATAGTGTATTGTATTAATGTCAGCTGTCAGCTGTCATATTGTCTAACTGATGATGTTTTTATTTTGTGTGTGTTTGTGTTGTAGGTATGAGTGCCCGTGGCTCCAAAGCCTGGAGTGTGGACGTTTCTCTGCTCTCCATATTCTTCGCCGTTGCAATATCTACATTCAGGTCAACATTGTGACATAACTTTGCTCTGATTTCCAACATTTGCTATTGATATTTTTTCCAAGAATTTCTGAAGATGGCCATGTTTCTTTCTTTCTTTTTTTCTTCTTTTTTTTTCTAAAAAGACGATTTTGTAAAAGTATGAGGCAGCATAAGAATGGAGTGAACTGTCATATATGGAGGACCAAGACTGACACAATTAAAAATAAAAGCAGAAACAATAACCCCAATAAATAAATAAATAAATACACTTAAATTACATTAAACAATTTAATAAATGAAAGCTTTACCTCATGTTTTATAATTTAACAGATCTTTATTTTTTATTTTTCCAGCTTAGTTCCAACAAATATATAAATATTGTTTTTCCTTTAACAATGTGCTAAAACACGTAATTTGTTGGAACTAAGTTGGAAAAATAAATATGAAGGTCAATGAAATTATAAAAATGAGGTGAAGTTCTCCTTTTTTAATTAATCCGTGCATTTAAGTTAATTTATTTATTTATTGGGCCATTTATATATATTATTTATTTTTAATTATGTCAGTTTTGGTCCTCCACAGTCAGACAATGAATTAACATTAAATGCTTGTTTTTATAAGTGGGTCTGACATTTTTGCCAGATGATAACAAAACTCTATTACAACTTTTTCTTTTTTCCTTTCGCTCTAGAATGATAACAGATGCCTTACTTCCATTTATGTGCCAAAGTAGTTTCAGCCTTCCTCTTGTTATGACAAAGATAGCAACATACTCTCCTGCACATTCAGTTCATTGCAGTTTGTTTTGATTGAGGACTCGGTGTACCTTGCGGAGGGTCTCGATGAAAGGAGTGGTTTTGTGTTTCTGAATTTTCCTTTTTCATTTTCACACTCAGTTTAGAAATCTAAACACGTTCATTCACCCATGCACGTGCCTTTGGAGATTCTCGTAACGGCCTCAATTAAAGACAATGGCAGTAGATAATGTTACGGCTCATCCTGCAGACATTTTTATTTTAACGTGCTCCAATGAAAATGTACAGAGCTCATCCAGTGACATTGGATAAAAAGAAATGAATGCATACCCACAAGATAATAGCTTATGACCACAAAATAGTTAATGCATGGCCATGAGATAGTTCTTATGTGACCACAAGATAATAACTCGTGGCCACATGATGGTTAATGCGTGCCCATGAGATAATAACTCATGACCATGTGATAGTTATTGTGTCCACAAGATAATAACTTGTGGCCATGAGACACTTAATGCATGGTCATAAGATAATAAATAGCTCATGACCATGTGATAGTTAATGTGTAACAATGAGATAATAACTCGCAGCATTGATATAATAATTTGTGACCACAAGATAGTTATTGCACATGACATAATTAATGTGTGGCCCCAAGATAATTATTCCAGTCATTTCAAGGCCGTTGCAGACTGAAGCCTAGGTTCTAATTAATTTCTTTTTATTTCAGTGTAGGATTGAATGGCATACTTCTGTCACTTGCTGTTAGATATGGGGCGGCTGTGGCGGAGTGGTTAGGGGAGTCGTCCTGGAACCAGAAGGTCACTGGTTCGATCCCCCGTCCAGCCGTCTCAGTCGTTGTGTCCTTGGGCAAGACACTTCACCCACCTTGCCTACTGATGGTGGTCAGAGGGCCCAGTGGCGCCGATGCATGGCAGCCCCACCTCTGTCAGTGTGCCCCAGGGCAGCTGTGGCTACAGTGTAGTTTGCCATCATCAGTGTGTGAATGTGAGTGTGAATGGGTGAATGTCTGTTAGTGTAAAGDGCTTTGGGGGTCCGGAGGGACTTGAAAAGCGCTCTATAAGGTCAGTACCATTTACCATTTACCATGGAGTAATTTTAGCATATATAATGCAGCTATAAGACATAGGTGAAAACTGGATTTGTGTTTGTCCAAAAAGAGCCATTTTTAAGCTCAAAACGGGCTCCTCTCTCACCCCCTGCCTTTGCTGCTTAAGAAGTCAGAATTATGTTACATTCAGGAACACGGTAAAAAACAAAAAAAATAAAATAAATTCCCGACACACACTTGGGGTCATTCAATGTCATCTCGTAAATGTTAGTAGCCAACTAGCCAACTATGAAAAAGGAACAGTTTAGCAATGGAGGTATGCTTTTGGATTAAACATACACCAAAAAATATTAATAATTGTGGGGTACTTTTAAACAGTTATACACAAAAACAGTGCATTCATATATAATCTGACTCCAACAAAGTCTGTATCTCTCACAAAGAGACACAGCTGCTCAAAATTATCTTGTGGCAACGAGTTATTATCTCGTGGCCATGCATTAATTTAAAAAAAAAATCCAAATTCACCAGATGGGCTCCGTAAAAGTGTTTTATAAAACACTTTTGTGTTTCATAAAACACTTTTGTGTATTAATATTTTACCATATAACATGTTGACTTTGATAAGCGGGGGGAAGGGGGTGGGGGCATGAAAGTTCCTGTAGGTTTTATCATCTTTAACCAGTTATTTTATTGGCCTGTTGCTTCACTGACTGAACCAAATTTGGCAGTCACAAAAAATGGCATTTGACAGCTGACAGAAGCCAAAGAGTCAGACTGTTTTTGCTTTCCAACAATCAGTCAACTGAAAAAATTAAAAGATTTTATTTTCTTGCTCATCAAGAAAAAAAAACATCCTTAATTCATAATCTGATTTCAAATGTGAGCATTTGTTGATTCTCTTTACTCTGCGTTGAACTACAGTACGCTCGTGTCCGTTTATTTTGATGAACCAAAAGTTCTCCTCCATGAAGTCACTAAATAATTAACTAGGATTATTTTGTGTTTTAGGGGTTATATCACTGCAAAGCCGCCACATCACAGCTTCAGATAAAAGCTTTCTACTGGTTTTGAAATCACGTGAAATGGGTGGGAATGATGCTTGATTTCCAAGTTCAAAGTGACAATATTATTGATTTTACTGGGCATAGTGTCCACAGAAGTTCACAAAAAAGTTATCCAATGCTTCAAACATTTTCTGAAACCTCAACATTTTTTAGCTGGTTCAATTTAAAGCCTTCAAATGGATTATGTACTCATAGAATATTAGGAGTTGTGCACATATCGTAAATTAAATTAAACATGATAAGACAGTCAGATTTAAATAGACATTTGTCATGAGCACATTACTGTAAGAACAACCCAATGGAGAACCACTTATAGACTGAAGATAACAGATGGCTGAAGCCACCATGGCTCTCAAGTCTCACACATTTTAATTTACACTTTTTTTGTATTCTCCCCCTTCAGAAAGTCTCTGTCCCCTTGTAGCGATAAACAGCCTCACAGAATATGACTGACACGACATTCAGAGGGCACAGCAACCTTTCTGTGCAACTTGTCGCTGAATCAACATGTTAAATGTGTTAATTCCGCTAAAAAAAAAGGAAAGTCAAAGGGATCTCAAAGAGCCAACAGTGCCTTAGACACACACACACAAAAAAAAAAAAAAAAAACACAACAGATGTTCATCAAAGTTCCAGATGTTCTCAGTGCCCAATTTTTTTTTGGCTTGGTGCACGAGGCTTCTGTACCCGGCTAATTAAACAACAGCCTAGAACTAAATTGAAACAAGCTGGAGCAAAAATAAATAAATAAAGATTTCATTTTTGGAGCCACTCTGTATCAACACCCAGTTTCACTGCTCTTTTTTTAGCTCTCTTTGCAGTTTTTACGTATTATGAAAAATTAGAGTTAAATTTTGCTCAAGTTTCCATATGTGGCACATTCCGTCTGAAGTGATCAAAACCATGTGAATGCGTCCTTTGTAGTTTTTTACTTCTTTTTTTTTTTTCAGAATCCAACTATAAGTGACTATAAAACAATGCAACCCAAGGTTTAGTTACTTTTCCCCTTTACAATTTTGGCTCTAAATTTGAAAAACGCTTTAAAGCTAGGCAGTTGATTTAAAAAAGCAACGTTTCTTTCCACACTAACATGACTTTTTCAGAGCCAATTGCTACATTCCCTCTTTTGTACAGTCTAATGATTGCTCTCACCGAAACCGATAATCTGACATTCACCTCTCATCCACTTCACACTCACTTCACACCACATGCCAGGCATGAAGAGGTGAGAAAGTGAGCTGGGTTTGAACCTCCGTCTCATTTGTTTTCTAACACATCCTTGCATTTACAACTAAGTGAGACCTTGCAGATGTCTTTTGTGAAAGATACCTGTCATTATCGTTAGGTATATTTAAACAATTATTGCGTTTTGCCCGACGTTCTTTTTTTTTTACACAAAACACATGCGCACATCTTTAAATCGGGCAATTTGTTATTCTCAACTCAAACTTCTGACATCAGAAAGCATCATTCCCAACTCCATGTTCCAACCTGGGAAGTAAATGAAACAAGGTATGAATAATCACTATCACGTGTTTTTTATAGCTCTTTGAGCAACCTCAGTTTGGAAAAATATTGTTTGATTATGACCAGACTGATGAGCTAACTGAGTCTGAGCGAAACCACAGCTAAAGTGGATCGCTGCCACCTTAAAACAACTAATTAAAAAAATAAGAAAATCATAATAAATAATCACGGTCAGTCAGTTTTACATTATATGGTTATTTATGTAGAATTTTGTGAATATGTGCAAGAGCAAAAGATGATGGCAGCCACTAGCTGTAGCACTTCTGAATGAAAATTTTAGGGTATTTCTGCCAGGATAACACTGTAACGCAGACTGACTCTGGTGCACAGGTTTATTAAACATTGTCCTGGTCATGATCTCGTCAATCTGGTCATAACTAATCAAATTGGTGTTGTTTAAAAAGTTATCAGCAACAGGTAAGACATTGCTTGTTTATAACCATTCCACAGAACCCCCATTTTTTAATTTTCTAACTCATCCCTTTAAAATAGTAAATCTGTTGGCTGCTTTTATATTGATCTGACAAAAGTGATCAGAAAATACAGATTTGTCCACTTGGACTTCTTGGAAATACTAGCATGAATTTTTTTAACGAAGCGATTGCAGAGCCTGGGTGATATATAGGAAATAAAACGGACTTATTTATCAATAGTGATGGGGGAAAAATGTATTAGTTCCAGCCGTTTACCACATCCATCTGGGCAACACTCGGTCAGTGCCAGTCGATATGCCTCATCAGCCATTGTAGTTGGGACAAGAGTTTTCAAGTGCTGCCAATTGTGCCAGTCTGTTAATTGAAACCTAGCCACCAGCTTAGACATCATTTGGCTCAGTCTGTGGTCAGCTGTGTTTTAATACTTTGTGAATTTGTCCTTTGTTGTCAGTTGTATTGTTGGCCTCCTTTTTTTTCTCTCTCTCAGTGCGGTGTGTGTCGTCATTGTTTGTTTATGTAGTTCGGTGAAACCCTGCTGCTCAGGTATTCCAACGTGCTTCACTCTATCATTCAGCAGCTCCGAGATGACAAGAGCGGACAGATCAGAGAGGTGTTGGCGCCGAACACAATGGGCTATTTAATGGTCTGACGTGATGAATGGAAAGCCCGATATGGGCCATGATTTAGCAGACATTAAAACATCTTAATAAATTAGAGCAGGCCTGACGGGGGTGCTGTGGGGAAAGGGCATGCAAGTAACGGCACTAATCACACCCACACAAGACTAATATATCAAGATTTAGGAAAGACTAGATCAGGAGAGCTCTATCAAGATGACACCAGGAGAGGCTTGTGTGTGTGTGTGTGTGTGCGTGTGCGTGTGCGTGTGTGTGTGTGTGATTTGGAAAGTGTCTGAGTGGGTTTGTGCATGGTTATTACCTTAGCCCAGGATGTCATGGACAAGTGATTTCAAGAGAGCCATTCTGCTCTTTAAAGAGGGAAAAACATGTTTAAACCCCTTTCTTGCTCTTAACCATAGTGGTCTGTGCTGGGTGACTGAAGCATTGCGGACATTCAAGTTGAATAGGACAAGGTCAGTGTCAGGGGGGAGGGGAGGAGGGGGGAAATGACTATGACCTAGTCAGAGCTTAAAATGCCTGTTTTTATTTTTTATTTTTTATTAAATCATCTCAAAATGTCCGAGCAAAAGGGACTACTGAAAAAAAAATGCAACAGAATAAAAAAGTCTAGTTCATCTCGATGGATAAAGCTCATCTTAAATGTGAAGACAGGTTTTTTTTTTTCTACGTCTCCGATTGATAGTTATCTGAACACTGTCTTTGAAGTTTGTCAATTTTTCTTACTGCCTTTTAAAAATGTGGACAACTTATGTATGTTTTTTTTTCGTCACAGATTGTCTTTTATTAAACAAACAGATGCTAACACAAGAAATGCATCTTTCTGGCTGATGTGTGGATTAAATGAACTGTGAGGGGGGAAAAAAACAGGCAGCATTTGTGTTTTTGGTACATAAACACATGGCCAACCTCTTTGTTTTGTAATGTACTTGTACTGTGGAGATTATTTGAAAAAAAATTTTTCTTCTTCTTCTTTTTTAATGTTTGATATGGTTGTTTTTGTTTTCCTTCCAAAACTTCTGCACAAAGGTCAAGTGTTGTTTGAGAGCCACTTTTTGCTACTGCAAAAGCCAGTCTTAAAATCTTCTCCTGCCTTCTTACAGTTTATGGGTTAAGGTGTCAGCTGTGCAGACCCCGACAACGGCGTCTGGTTTGAAATCGTAATCCTCAGTCAAATTTTGAAAGAACTAGAATCAGTCTTTTATTAACGGCTGCTATCACACAGTCTTTTGATGTATTGTTGCAAAACCCAACCTATTTGAAGGTGGTCAACCAATGCACAGTGGGCAACGTAAGTAGTACAGGCTACTGTTTGTCTTTTTATACAGCTTTACCGTTTTCAAAATGTATTGCGAAACAACTGATTCACCATAAAGAATTTGACAAATAGAGCTCTGGGTGACAACGCTTGGCCTTTTCTTTTGTGACTCTTCAGTATTTTAATGTCCATGTGATCTCTGTGAGATCGTGTCCCAAATGTTTTCACATTGAAAAGTCATCAGCTGATCTGGATAATGCTGAAGATGTGCATGTATGATATTGTTTGGTGCATTTGGTGTTTTCTAAATGAGGGCGTTAATAAAAACAGTTCACTGAGAATTTTTGTCTGGAATTTTATTTTATTTTATTTATTTTATTTTTTGAGGGGGGGTTAAATTATGGTGTCGTTTTCAGCATCAGCCGTTTTAGTGTCTTTTACTGCACGGGGAGTTTGAGTGGAGCCTTGGGGCGCGATCAAAGCTATAAAATGCATAATGTAAAAAAATGAAAATTTAAAAAAAAAAAACAGAAATTGGGGTAAAAGCCAGCAGTAATGTCCTCTTCAGTGGGTAAAGAATACAGACCACAAAGCTTTTAGCTAGCTACTTTAATCATATTGTCACACATCATAATGAACACTGTTATTACAGATAACTAAATGTTTTGGAGGTAATATAACACTCAATATCTGAAGCGCACAGTCAACAAGCAGCACGCTGAGCTGCTGGTTTTGTAATGAAGCTTTTTCAACAGTCTTTAGATTATTGGTGCACGTATGTGTGTGTGTGTAAAGTTCAGCTGTTTTCCACTGAAACAACAGAATGACATGGAAAGCCGCTGTGAAGTATTGATTGAGTCAGTGTTGCAGAGATGCTTTTAAGATAATAAGAAGGAGAGGACCTTGTGAAGAGATCGATTCGAACGGGAAGCGAAGAAAAGAGAGGTTTCTCCCCACACACCACAGATCATTTATAATGAGCTGGTGTGTCAATAATTTGGCTCTTCACATGCTATTGACCACTGGATCAGAGCAGTGGGCTTCTGTAATTTATTTTGGCACCAGACACTAAGGGGAATGTATAAATGTCTGATTCTGAAACTCACATCTTCAGTTTATAACTGCGAAAGGCTTCAGATTCAAACACAGTGGATGGATGGTGGAGACATGATGGGTGCATATGACTTTTCCCAGTGCGGCAGATGTTGTGGGGTGGTTCCCACAGAATGTAAATGTAAATACTGCCCCCTCATGGTTCCAGCCTCCCAGTGCATCCTTTCTGTCCAGGCTGGATGAATGAAATGAGGCAAAGCAGGGGAGTTCTTGCTGTGTCCGCAGTCTCTCACTGCATCAAATGGATGCACTGCTGACCAGAGGTCCTGCAGGATTTGTGGCAAACATAATTTCAAATTCCGAATCGGCATCACAGTAGACAAACAAAACAAAACAAAACAAACAAAAAAAATACTTCTGATATGAGCCAACAAGGCTCCTTGGCATTTACTTGAAAGGTTGTATGACGCGCTCCTAGACACCCAGGCTGAAAGAGACATGATGATGAGAGGCGATAAAGATGTGTTTCATGCCTCTTTGTTGTGTGTATTTGATGCTTGTGAACATTTTATGTCTTTTGAAACCATTATGTTTTGTCCTTTTGTGTTATATTAACAATTCATTTTTGAAGTAATATATTTATTTGTGGTGGAAGGTTATCTGTCATAGGTTATCTGTCATTGAGACGCTATAAACAATTAAGAATATAGGATTCTATATTTTTAATTGTTTATAGCGTCTCAATGCAGCTTTTTTGCGTTATTTTGCAACTATTTGTCACTTTTTAAGTCTTTATCATGTTCAACATTTTTATTCTATTTGATTGCTCTGAGTCATTAAAAAAATAAACTTCAGATCAAAATGTATTAACGTAATTGCATTGCATTGAAGAACAGCAGCTGTGTTTATTCCATGCCGCTAGGGGGCGCTGTATCTTCTTCAGCTTCCTTCTTGTACGCAGAAGAACGCTGTTTTTTTGTGGGCACGCATGCAAACACAGCTGAAAGATTAGACGATGGAGCCTTCTAAAAGTAACGATTCAACGAACAGTGGTCTTCAGGAACAAAATTCAGACGTCAACGAAGAGGAGGAAAATGAGCTGTGTCCCGGTTTCAAAGACGTGGACGCTTTTGTCAAAGTAAGTAAACGAAACCAGCTAGAGAGAGTTAGCACACAAGCTACCACTTAGCAGCAGCTATCACTGGCAACGTGGGTGATATGGGGTGAGCTGGTCACAGGCAAGTACGTAAGTTACAAAAGAAATGAAACCAGTGGAAGACGAGCAAAGCAAAGAAGAAATGTTTGGTGTGTTTTTCCAGATAATGAAATTGAGGCTAACACGGCGAGCTAGTTGTTATAAGCTCGAGACAAGAAGTCAGCATGTAAACGGCTAACTTTTTCATTTCATAAGTCACTGACTTTTTATTAGACGCAGCTCAGCCTTTCTCTTCTTCTCTGCAGCATGGTTTGAGTGCTGTTTTGTCAGCCACCAAAGCATCAGCTGGCTTACCTCAGACTGGAGATGAATATGATTTCTATCGGAGCTTTCCCGGATTTCAAGAGTTCTGTGAAAGTCAAGGAGACAAGCTTCTGCACTGGTAAGAGATGCTTGTTAGTTGTATTTGTCCTAATCATCATGTGATCCACACAATTTTAAAAATGCTTTTATTTTTCTGATAGGATCTACAGACATGCACTCGGCAGATTTGTCGACAAATGGTGCATTTTTGCAGAAACTAGATTTCCACTTTAGTTGTTCTCATGAGCTTTTTCCTTTGAAAGTTGCTCGAAAATTTATTCTAGCAGTGAAATAAACACATATAGTCTGCACTGCAAAACAGTCCTCTTATACATTAATATGTTTTGGTTGTAAAGCAGATCTGTAGAAGATTTTGGTGTACAGACATGTCAGCAAGAAGGTAATGTTTGCTGAGTATAAGGAGCAAAAGTTAATATTTTTTTATTCTATTTTGTGTTAGCATGAGCCAGATAATGCAGCACCATGGCTGCAGATCTTACATAAGAGACCGGAACAAGCTGACCGGGGTGGAGGAGAGGTTTGACTTGGTTGTGGACTCCAACGACGTCATCCTTGAAAAAGCGGTATGACCTGTGATCATGGCTTTAAACAACTTGAATGATGGAAAAAAGAAAAAGGCCTTTGCGAACCAACCAAGCTGTGCTGTCTGATTACCAGGGCATTCTTCTTGATGAAGCCGATGGGGTGAACAGGAGCCAGAAGCCTGTCATGCCTACGGGGTTTCAGCCTCCAAAAATTGTGGTTTCAAGCTGGAATCGTAAGGTTAGCTAATTAGCATTTTAGTTATTTTATTGCAGTTGTCTGTGTGTACTTTGGACCATGTTTAAGCACATATATTCTGGATCATCCTGACATTTAATCTCACATTATAGCAGTAAACTTATACGCATATGTCATTAAGTCTTTTAATAAAGATTTTGTCTTTATCAGGGTTCCAGCTCTGGCAGTCGTGCTGAGACATTCCGACTGCTACATGCCAAGAATGTTACGAGGCCGCAGCTGAAATTTAAGGAGAAGATTGACAACAGCAACACACCTTTTATTCCGAAGATTTTCATCAAACCCAATTCATTAAAGCCACTTCCATCATGTAAGACCTGTTTTATTCTCCTGGGTTTTACATCGTGTCGATTTTGCAGTTGAACATTTCAACATGTCTAAATGGCTTGATTTCTATTTTTAAACTGGAGATTTCACCAACAAACAAATGCGTAAAGAGAGACCGGAGGACCTTGATGTCCCAGCTGCCCTGGCTGATTTTATCCACCAGCAAAGAACACAGGAGCATGTTGAAGACATGTAAGACTTGTTTGTGGTCTTATATTTACATTTTGTTCCTTATGTCTATTTGTTGATCAAAGGATGTTAATTCATGTAGGTTTGCACACCCGTACCAATATGAACTGGATCATCTCACAATACCAGAAAGCTTACTGTCTAAGCCAGAGCCTCAGGTAAAATAGTTGTTTTTAGTAACTAAGTCTCGTCATTCAGTTTAGGTTTCTGCTTTATCATTTGTCTGATTCTTTCTAGATGTACAAACCAATGTCGGAGACTAAGTTAACCTTTATTGACTCGCTGGAGGACCTCGTGGCTCTCAATGAGAAGCTGTGCAGCTCTTCTGAATTTGCGGTGGATCTTGAGGTACAGACGTGTGCAATTCTGTTTCAGCTAAAACAAAAACATACTTCAATTTAAAAAAAACAAACAAATTTTCTAACCCCCTTGTTTTGTTCTCCACGACAGCACCACTCCTACAGGAGTTTTCTTGGCCTCACCTGTCTGATTCAGATCTCCACCAGAGAGGAGGACTTCATCATTGATGCTCTGGAGCTCCGTGGTGAAATGTACATCCTGAACGAGGTGTTCACTGACCCGGGCATTGTAAAAGTAAGGAAACCGTTCCTTTTGTGTTCTCTTCAACAGGACGGTGGCATCACATGTTGACAGGCTTTTAGGTAGGATTTTAGAGGAAAACGTTGGCATTTTAAGTCTGAAGACTCCCACCCCTGCTTACGAAGTTTACGCAAGCTGACAAAATTTATGTAGTTAAAAAAAATAAAATAAAAAGTTACGACAGACCAGGAGCAAAGGTTGTTAAAAACAACACACAACAATAGATGCTGCAAATGTGATGTTGTTACTCACCCCCTCTATCCAAGCCAGCGCAAGTGTCTTCCTCTGGCATCTTAAAATAATTGCGGTCACTCCCTCCACCACTTATGTAGTTTTGTAGAAGTTTACAAAATTTACTTAAATTTATTTATTTATTTTAACACTCTGCAGACCTGAGGGTATCCTGAGGCATCGCCAGCTGAAAGAGTGCATCATAAAACTAAATATATGTTGAGTTCATTTACTTTGAGTGCAACTGCACCATCTTTTTATCCTTTTTATTATAATTTCTTCATAATCTGGAAGCAGTTAGACAGATCCTCATATCCAAATACAAAAAGCAAGCAAACCACAAACGCATAGTTGTACTAATGAGCAAACTCTTAATAGCACTTTTTCCTGGTTTGGTTATTTACAATGATTTAACATAAAATGGTTTTATTCAAACTGCATAGTTAAATCAGCATGTAGTGGAAATGAGATTTGGTTCCCTTTCATTATTGCTAATAATATAGGTAATTGATAGGAATATTAAAAAAAAATTATCTTGTACAACTTCACCAAGCCGGATTATCATTTATTTCTGACTTCGGTAACAAAAACTGAATCAAATAGGTTTTGAGCATTTCTCTGGATTAAATACAGACGTTGCTTGTAGTTTTTAGTCATTCTGTTGTGTTCATCTTTAAAAACATCTACGTTGAATGAATTCTACAGAGATCTGTTATTTTGTAGACCCGATTCTAGTGCAAATGCTCATTGTACAAGTACACAAGTTTTACGGGCCAGCTTTTTAATTAGCTGGCATTTTTCCAAGGAGGGGTTTCAAGAGCTTGATAAGAGTGTTGCAGATGGAAAATGTCTGTATTTTCTTCAGCTGGCAATCTTTGGAGTTTAAAGAGCAGCTTTTACAAGATCGTCCCCAGGTGTTGTGATTTCCAGTTTGTAAAGATAAAACCCTGGTGTTGCGTGCCTCTCGAAGCCATATCAGACTCAAATATGTTTGATAAAGTTGGCAGGTGCCTTCTGGTGTGTGGGAGTCAACATGACTCACACTCCATGGGACACCTTTGAAAAGAAATGTGTTGCGTGGGCTTGAACAGCTGAAAGATTTGCTAGATTTCAAATGGAAAAAGTCACATTGTGTCTCCATTTTTATTTATTTATTCATTAAACAAGAAGTTCTGGTAAACCTGCCTTTTTTTGTTTGCCTTTCCTTCTTTTCAGGTGTTTCACGGTGCTGATTCTGACATCGAGTGGCTCCAGAGGGACTTCGGCTTGTATGTCGTCAACATGTTTGACACGCATCAGGCAAGTCGAGCTCTTAACCTGGCCAGACATTCCCTCGACCACTTGCTTAAACACTTCTGCAGCGTGGACTCAGACAAACGGTACCAGCTGGCTGACTGGAGGATCCGGTACGTTGATAACTTTGTGTGTTTATTTCATCAGCTATCTTTTAACAGTTTTAGGCTACTTTGAGAAAGCTGAAATAAAAATGATATAACTCCCTCTCCCAGCCCTCTGCCAGATGAGATGATCCAGTATGCTCGGACAGACACCCACTATCTCCTTTACATCTACGATTGTGTGAGAGTTCAGTTACTGGATTCCCACCATGGGCAGCCGGGCCTGTTGCAGTGTGTCTGGAACAAGAGCAAAGACATTTCACTGAAGGTGTGTACAGCTCCTGCTCACTTCTGAGCGTGCTGCCTGATTGGGTGAGCCAGGCAGCTTTTTACATTCCTGGTTTTGGTACATTTGCGTTGAGGTTTCTCACATCTGGACATTCAATCCCCAGTCTTTGTATTCTTTAAGTGACACATCAAAGGAGGGCTCAGTACACTCGATCCAAAGCTGAACAATTGATGAGCAGTCACATTGTTCGACGTTCGACACACTGCACCGAGCTCCTGGGAACCCACAGGTTCTCACTGCACAGGGTTTCTTCCCACTGGGATTTACACCAAGGACAAAAAACAAAACTATCCACCGTTATTGTGTCCACAAATCTGTCCCGGTTAAAGCACCACAGTTTTTCTCAGATTTCTTTGTGCACGACGGCTGTTTTAAATCCATTGATGATTTTTTTAGCCATTTGATCTTTATAAATGTCTGCTTCTGTATACAACGTTCGGATTCTTGAAGCATTTGTTTGAAGCAAACCACAGCGTCTGATTGCTTTCAGCATACTCAAACATGCCCACAAACGTCTGACCAATTACATAATTATGTCTTATTTGGAGAGAGGTGAAACTTTTAGGATTGTAACAAGAAAGGGAGGACGTTTTGAAACTGTGACCAAAATGACGCGATTTTCGTCACGCAACTGAGACAATAGGAGCATATTTCAGCCGTTTGGATTGAGCATGTGGTGGGATTTAGTAGTGTTCTTGGCTGTGTGTGTGTCTTTTATAAATTTAAGATTGATGCAGGTGCATAGTCTTTATTGTGGCGTTTGGGTTGAATGTGATTATCTGCAGAGAAACTGCAGTGTTCCTGTTTTAAACCGGTACAGAAAGTACAGTTTATGTCCTGTGGGTCTGGAAGATGAGTGTGCAAAAACCATATTAGTTATTTCTACAACAAACACACCAAAGTGTTTTTCCCCCTTTTATCTTCAATATCATTTGTATGATTACACATAAAATCATAGAATTAGATTCCTAAGAGTTTAGGTTCCTAATCCATGATCAGAACTGAAGAAGTCTTTCAGTTGAGAGTTTAAATGTAAAGAAACAAACAAACTAAAAAATTTGAATTGTTTATGTAACACCTAAAACTCCACCAAAGAAGTCATTTTCAGTTCAGATAATTTCACAAACTCTTGTATTTTTTCCCTTAGCTTACCTCAGTTTTCACCATTTTCTTACGTCATTCATCACTGTTCACAAAGTAACCCCACTCTCCCCTTTCAAACAGAAATATGTGAAGCCAATATACACAGAGGAGTCCTATTTAGAGCTGCAGAGGAAGCAGAAAAGGTCTTTTAACACCCAGCAGCTAACTGCCTTCAGACTGCTATACGCCTGGAGGGACAAGCTGGCAAGGCAGGAAGATGAAAGCACTGGGTAGGCTGTGTAAAATGGATGGATGGACTTGCTGTTATTGAAGTCTATTATAACTATTTTACTTTTTTTTTCTTTTTTTAAGTTTGTGGACATCACATTTTGCAGCCAGCCTGATCATCCTAAAATTTTGTATTGTGTTTTTCATGATCTTATTTGTGTGTTCAGATATGTTCTGCCCACTCATATGATGATCAAAATATCTGAGGAGTTGCCCAAGTAAGTTGATTAGATTTCATCTTTTCAAATTCTTTTAGTTGTTTTTTTTCTTCCTCTCTTTTTTTAATGTCAAAATACTTTTGTGTTTTTATTTAAGACCTCTTTGTCTCTCCTCCTCAGAGAGCCTCAGGGCATCATCGCCTGCTGTAATCCTGTGCCGCCGCTGGTGAGGCAGCAGGTCAATGAGCTTCATTTGTTAGTGCAACAAGCCAGAGAAATGCCCCTTCTGAAGGTGAGGATAGATGGCATCTGTGAGAATGTAGTTTGTGCTGAACCCTGCCAATCAGTGTGCCTGAATCAAACACAGTTGTGCTTTTTTTTTACCCCCTTTTCACTCAGGCTGAGATTGCAGCTCAGAAGAAAAAAGGACTCTTACCTATCAAAAAGGTTGGTTCAGATCCTAAAAACATCTGGAGGAAGTACCTCAGTAACTGAAACTGCAATGATTGAAGTAAAATGAACGTGATTGTGTCTTTTACAGCCAGAAGTCACTTTGTTTGGTCCCCATGATACTTCCAGGATTTCTGAGAGTGAACTGCCCCACTTTACACCTGGTGGTAAGCTTGAAGCTAGTGTTTGTTGTGCCTTTTGCAAGCAATGAGACATGTTTGTGCTCAATTGATGATTTATGAATTTTCAGAAGGAGCAGTTAAACAAGGAATACTATTCTCAGAGGATGAGCAGAAAACGCACGTTGATGAGCAGAAAACACGCGGTCTCTTGGCACCACCTAAAATAACACTGTTCCAGGTGGATATCAAGTTTCAGCAACTCTGTTTTTCTTTAATAAGGATGCATGTTTATAAGACTTGTTTCTTTTGAAGGAACCAGAAGCTCCTGATGACCAGACGTCAGTGTCTGTAGCTCAGATGAAAGCGAAGTGCATCATTGAATCTTTTGAAAACCCATTCAGGATGGTAAGAAAGGAGAAAAAAAACTACACCTATTTAATGTTTTTATTCTTATTACACAGATAAATTATTTTCTTCTTTTGAAATCTCAGTATTTACCATCAACTGATGTGCACATCAACAAGAATGCCAAGTTTGACCCATCTTCGAAAATATTTGAAGTAATAAAAATCTCATTTTATCGCTTTTCCCCCCCAAAAAAACATTTCCTTCTTTCTGATTGATTATAGCTGCTGTTTCTCCCTTTGACAGATTAGCAAAAGATGGAAACTGCAGAGTATTGAACAGCAGGAGAAGGAGCTGGAGGCCAAAAAGAAATCCAAGGAAGAGGTGAAGCAACAAGCAAAGAAAATGTCAGGTAATGAGGTTTAATCATCGCTAAAGTGTCCATTTATTGAGTAAAGTTTTACATAATTTGTTGTTTGTTCCACAGAGAAACGAGCTAAGGCCAAACAGAGCTACCAGGAATCACTGAAGAATGTTGCCACTGTGCGGCAGCAAGCAGCAGTGAGTCTTTTTCTCTCCTCTCTCTTCCAGTTACTCTTTATTTTATTACTTAAGATAAAGGATACACACCTGGGAAAGTATAGAATTATGAAGACAAAGAGAAGCACTTAAAGGTCTACTGCAGCATTTTAAAGGCATTAGTTTATTAGTTTAACTCTGTGCAATGCTCTCTATTTTCCTAACATGCAGCATCTGGATTTTCTACACATAAATACAAAAACTGCCATTTTTCCTCCTCATCAGATGCATTTCTTTCCTTCTGACATGAAACAAAGTTACGGTCTCCTTCAGAAGCCTTTTGTATGACCACTCTCTCCCTCTAGGGGTAGTAATTGGCTCCCTCTGGATTACTCAATAACACTTCCTCTTCATTGTTAGTGTTTTCTGTTTACATGGTAAATAAAAAGAAAGCAAGCAAGCTCACTACCTTTTGACTTTTGCTTCCTAGTTTTACTCCTTCACTTCTGCCTTTCATAGGCACACACAATTACCAGTCTGACTCCGTGTGTGATGATGGTTTAAAGAATTCTGGCACCTGGCACTCTGTCTGGTAGCATGCATCAGAAATGTTGGCAGAAACCCTTGAAAGTAATCGTCATCAGTGTGCCAAGTGCAGACTGGCTGTGATATTAGCAACCTGTCACTTTCAGCAGCCTCGTGGCAGTGAAGTTTCTGCTCCAATTATAAATGAGAGATTTTTGTGGTTTTGCAAAAGTCTCACACCACTAATGTGGTGAAAGGAAGATGGTGATGTGATTAAGCTCTAGGATCACATTTTTTATCCTCCATCTTTCCTGTGTTAAATATATCAAATCAGGTGCAATGCGACAAACCTGCTTTCAACACATTTTGGTTTAAAAAAATGCTTTATAAACAAGACTACCTCAGCAAGTAAAAGAGAGAAACAGACATTTACAATTTTTAAAGTTTTATGTAAAGTTGGTTCAATTAACTGTAAAACTGAACACCTATACATTTACTTTTTCTGCTTAAAATGCAGCATCAAGTTGCATACTGACTGTATCCATGGGAACCTCCTTCACCATCTTTACATAATGCCAAATGCATTGATAAAACCACATTATCCGATCTAAAAGTTAGAAAAAAATTCCTTCACCCAAAGATTGTTATGATTGTCCTTTTATTAATAAAATATCCAGTGCAAATGTGGAACAGTATGAAGCGTTCAGCTGGTCCAGGGAAGCATCACCAGGTGTTTAGTTGCAGCACATTTGATGGTTTATTGAGAAAGGCACATTTACCATGTAGGTATCTAATTTACCTCGTAGGTATCTAATAGGACATTTGTGACAATATGTGATCAAATTGGCTCAAAACATGATTTCTGTAAACAGAGTAAGGTCTGAACAGATTGATGATTTATAATCTGTAGTTATTTTCACCTTTTGTCAAACTTTTTGTATAATATACTTTTTTTATTTCCATTGAATAATTTTACATAAGAGTTGTACACATTATAGTATTTTCCCAGGTAATTAAACCCAGCCATGTTAGTATAATACATTATTCAGTACACTGTAAAAAGAATGAATTTGTTCTTTGTTTCATAAAATGTTGCTGACCACTTTTTTAGGAAGCTGCAAAAGATGGGAAGAAAAGAGAGATGGCTGCCAGTGAGGTTGGAGAGGAAACTCCCAAACCAAGTAAGAAGTTGATGAAATTAGAGAAGACTCAGAAGACGGACGCTCCCAAAGAAAGCTTCAAACCCTTTGACTACAGCCAGTCAGATCTGAAAGTTTTTGATGGTATGCATTTGTAATTTTTTTGTTTTGTTGTTTTTCTGGACAGTGGATAAACTTATTTTTGTTTTGTTTTTTAGTAAATTTATTCATTTTAATTTAAAAACAAAACAAATACTATACATACAACAAATAATACAAATCACAAATACAATGAAAGAAGAAATGTTATTCAAATTGTACATTCATGTACCTTGGAAGTGGGAATTCCAAACTAAAGCATATTTGTGCTCTTGATTTTTACTTTAGTACTGTATTAACTGCATATTCTTTTTTTATTTGTTTTTGTTTTTTACTAAGTTCAGTAGTTATGTATAGTTGTGTAATATTTATTTGCTTTCTGTCTACAGGTGCCAAACCTAAGGGAAACACACAATTTGATCCAAACCAGCAAGCCCATGATTTTAAGAAAAAGGTACCTTTTGGTTTTGTTTTGAGAAAAAAATTAATATATATACATGCTTAATGCATATTCTTTAATATTTGATATATTTAAATGTTCTGCCCAACAGAAAGGTCCTCGGGGACAAAAAAACAACTTCTCAACTGGAAACCGAAGTATGTCATACCTGGGTGGCAAATCCGACAGGTAAAAGAAATTCAGAGCAGCTCTGTTTCTTTGCCTCTGCAAATCCAAACATTTTATGTTTATTATTTCATCTCTGTTTTCTTTTAATCTCCTACAGAGGGTTTTCCCATAGCTGGCCCAAGAGATAAACTCCTTGATGTAAATTTTTTTTACACTTTTTGGAAATCATCCTACATATTTCCCTTTCTTGCAAAGAAAATCAGTGAATAATGACTTTAGGTGGAACCCCCCCCCCCCCATCCCACACACACACCTGTAAAACACTTTGTAAATATAAATGTGTGGAAACGTATAACACTTTTTTTAAAGCTGGTTTTAGAAAACAGTGGTTAGATATTTCTTCTGTTAATACACAGTCAGTACTCTTATGTATTTATAAACTGAGGCAGTAGGTTTATTATTGAGAAGAAATGGTTTATCACAGAAATTAAACATCAAACTATAAAACTTACATGGATGTGATGTTGTTTGTATCTTTGCTGTAATATGAAAAACTTTATTATGAATTAATCATTCTTTTTGTCCTGCTCATGGTAAAGGAAATGAAGAAGAAATGCGCTTTTAAATTTGAAATTCATGTACCTTGGAAGTGGGAATTCCAAACTAAAGTATATTTGTGCTCTTGATTTTAACTTTAGTACTGTATTAATTACATATTCTTGTAAGTTGAATACTTTCAGGAACAAATGAAGCCATAATTAAACCTTTTAGTGCAATTTTCCCAGTCAGTAATTGGTATGAAACCGAAGTACGTCATAAAATGGGAATGAAGAGAGACTGATTTGCAGTAAAAAAAAAAGTCAAGTGAAGAAGTGATTGAGAAATTAATGACGACAGGTCTATCAAACACTAAGATGGCAGTTTGCATCACGAAAACTGCAGAGAAGGGAAATAGTAGAGATTTATATAGTTAGTCTGAAATCAGTTTGCTTTTATTGCTGTGGTAAATTGTGAGGCTAAATGCTATAAACTGACTAAGAGACGACATGCTTTGTTAAAGAGTGAAGGAAAGGGGTGTCTGTGCTGCTTAATACCTGTTTTGCCTTTTGTAGGGCTTTTGTACTGTAATGTCTTATGGCCCCATAATTTTGTTTGATGGAAAAGCACTGCTGAAAATTGAGTTGAAAAAATCTTAAACTTTACCAGCTATTTGTGAGAAAATATTTCTATTTATTTTTAGATGAAAGCAGCACTTCAGTGCAACTGTTAGTCCTGTGGTGGAAATAAAAAAAAACTTTTCCATGTCTGTTAAACAAAGTGCAGAAATACGTGATCAAAAAAGTTCTTCACTACAATGGTCTGAGTAATTTTTTTGCAATAAAATGAGAGTCGACATGCATACAGCAATACAAGTTGAGTCTGGGGACACAGCCCCAGTGAAGCATCTTTTATACCTTCAGAAACCAGTCCCAAAACTGGTTATTTCTGACATTCAAGGAGTGGTTCTTTATCTGAGCAGCAAAAATTCCTAGTTTCAAATAAAACTTGTTCTGTGGTCTTTATACAAGAGGAAGACACCTTAGAATGTGGTTATACTTGCTATTTCATTTTCTCTTATATGTTCACATTCCAGTAGTAACAAAATAAATAGTTCTGCGATCCAGTTGTGCAGAAACTACGGGTGTGTGTATGAGGTTTAAGCTGGAACAACAATAAATTACACTTTTAAGGTGCTCTCCTGGAAGCGTACATCAGTTGAAATGATTCAGAATATATGACAGTAAGCATACAATACATTTATAAGTAAAACAAGAAAGAAACAAGTGAAATACATTCAAAACTTAAATACATGGGTGACTATTTCGTTTTCCTTCACAATCCCAATGTTTTTAAAGAAATGTTACCATGGATTTTACACATGCAACATACATTGTTTGTTTTCTGCTTTATCGTGAAATTAAAAAAGCATTAAATGGTTAAATAAAACAAAAATTCAAGTATTGGGAAAATTTGCACTAAAGACAACCAAACTCATTTGAACAACAAAAATCAAATTCTATTTCAGAGAAGTACAAAAGGCTAAAAGCTGGTGTGTGATGTAGTTATATATTTCTATTAAATCAAGCAAGAATGACTACAAAAACAGAAAACAATGCAAACAAATTCAGGTAAAGTAATTATACCATGCAACTGATGTTAAAGGCAAAACAAAATACATGAGCCTATTTGGGCATTGTTTCTCAGTACAGTCTAAAGTCTGCTGGCACAGAAAACAAATGTTTTCTTTTCCAAAGCCTAATAATTATACAAATGCACTTTGATAAACAGTACAGGGTTGTGAAATGAGCTAAATTACCAAAATCAGTCTTTCAAAGTTGCTGTTGTGTTTTATTTTTTTTGTCAATGTATGGCCAAGTGTCTGCGCATGCGCGGTGAGGAGGTTCCGTACTTTCACGTGGCCACTAGGCTGTAGCGGGGCAGAGCTAAAAGCGACGTCGAACAAACTATATGCGAAGCCGAACACATTCTATTGGCTGGCTGGTGGACAGACCGCTACCTCGGAGGCGTTCCATTTGCAATAATCTGGAGACAGCAAGTTTATCTGTCAGGAAAGGGCTTTGTCGTAAGTTGCTACTGCCACACTTCCAAACACGTTAGGAGTACGCGTGGCTGGTGCTGGCTGCTGTCATGGACCACATTAAAGACGGCTGGTTTACGGAGTCGTGCGCATTATGGCCGGGCCAAGCAATGAGCCTCCAAGTGGAAGAAGTCCTCTACCACCAGAAATCCAAATTTCAGGATGTTATGGTTTTTAAAAGGTGAGTGGTGAATCTTTTTAAAAACATGGCTGATTTATGCTAGCTGTTAGCTCACGAATCAACTAACACTGATTTAGGTCTGAGTTCGTTCCTGCGGCTAGAGGAGATAGATACACGCGAGGTTTTATTTTCACTGACTGTCGGTTTGTAATGCAAGTTTAGGGGGGAACTTATAAAGATATTTTCCCGATTATCAAACAGATTTTAAATGTTCGCCCTGCCCAAAACATGAAGTTTCAATAAATCCGCTTAGTTGCTCATAATGCTGTACTGTCACTTCCCAGTAAAACTTACGGGAACGTGTTGGTACTGGACGGGGTGATCCAGTGCACAGAGAGGGATGAGTTTGCTTATCAAGAGATGATCGCCAACCTGCCTTTGTGCAGCCATCCTTGCCCAAAGAAGGTACTTTTATTTATATAACTACACATTGTGAAATTGAGGAACCTGCAGTGCCAGTTTAATTGGGATGATTCGTCATTTTCATGTTGTTTCAATAACAGCATTTCGTTACTCCTAACAGGTGCTGATCATTGGTGGAGGAGATGGAGGTGTGCTCAGGGAGGTGGTGAAACATCCACTGGTGGAATCCGTGGTTTTGTGTGAGATAGATGAGGTAAGAGCAACACTGGAGGTGATTTGAGCTCAGCTCCAGAGAACATGATTCAGCATTCCTCTGCAAAAATCTTGTGAACATATTTAATCATTTTTAAACTGTTTTATTTGTTGTAAATAAATCAGGAAAAGAAATTGTATTGGTGTGACTACAACAAAGCTGCCTTACACAAAGATGGTGATGTTGTGGTAAATGTTGTCTGTAAATTGTCAAATTATTATCAAATGCCACCTCAATGTCTTTAAAGCTATTTTAGTTAGACATATTTGTGGTGGCTAATGACGCTTAGCTGCGGTGGCCAACTTTAATCGACTTGGCTTCAAATAATCAGTTGTAGATGTGCATCCTATTACACATTTCCTGAAAGTTTAAGTTTGTTTCATAAGATATTTGGGGAACAGGCAAACACATGAGCAAGGACATTATTTGCTTTTTGGTTGTTGGTAAATATTTATGGTAGAGTTATCGCCAACACAGTTACAGTAGTAACTATAATAGTTCTTAAAACGCCTTATGAGTGCTGATGTTTCTTCTGTAGGATGTCATTAATGCATCAAAGAAGTATCTCCCAGGAATGGCCAAAGGCTTTTTCAGTCCGAAGCTCACACTCCATATTGGTGACGGCTTCGAATTCATGAAAGAAAACCAGGATGCATTTGACATCATTATCACTGATTCCTCAGATCCAGTGGGTATGTGCCATTATTCAGGGTTTGATTTTGAATTGAATAGAATTAAACATTTTCATATAATAAAACAACGCTTCGCCTGTTTTTGGAGGATAATCTCATGTTCTGCTTGTGTTTTTGTGTTGCAGGACCTGCTGAGAGTCTGTTTAAGGAGTCTTACTATAAGCTAATGAAGGCAGCACTGAGGAATGGTGGTATTCTCTGCTCTCAGGGTGAGCTTATGATTAACTGGTGTTTTTGTATTAAAGGCTGAAGAAAGGCTAAACAGTAATGTTGAAGTAAACGTTCAAACTAAATGAGAATTAAGATTTTTTTTTTTTTTTAAAGACTGAATCTTTTGTGTGAATTTTACAGGAGAGTGTCAGTGGCTACATTTGGAGCTGATAAAAGAGATGCAGACCTTCTGCAAAACCCTCTTCCCTGTGGTGGACTACGCTTACAGCACCATCCCAACTTATCCCAGTGGCCAAATTGGATTTATGCTGTGCAGTAAGAATCCTGTAAGTGTTTGTCTCTCTAATGCTCAAACATTGTTGTGTACAGGTGCTGGTCATAAAATTAGAATATCATGAAAAAGTAGATTTATTTCAGTAATTCCATTTAAAAAGTGAAACTTGTATATTATATTCATACATTACATACAAACTCATATATTTCAAATGTTTATTTCGTTTAATTTTGATTATTACAAATGACAACAAATGAAAATCTCAAATTCAGCATATCAGAAAATTAGAATATTACTGAAGACCAATAAAAACAAAGGATTTATAGAAATGTTGGCCAACTGAAAAGTATGAACATGAAAAGTATGAGCATGTACAGCACTCAGTATTTAGTTGGGGCTCCTTTGGCCTGTATTACTGCAGCAATGCGGCGTGGCATGGAGTCGATCAGTCTGTGGCACTGCTCAGGTGTTATGATAGCCCAGGTTGCTCTAATAGTGGCTTTTAGCTCTTCTGAATTGTTGGGTCTGGTGTATTGCATCGTCTTCTTCACAATACCCCATAGATTTTCTATGGGGTTAAGGTCAGGAGAGTTTGCTGGCCAATTAAGAACAGGGATACCATGGTCCTTCAACCAGGTACTGGTAGCTTTGGCACTGTGTGCAGGTGCCAAGTCCTGTTGGAAAATGAAATCTGCATCTCCAAAAAGTTGGTCAGCAGCAGGAAGCATGAAGTGCTCTAAAACTTCCTGGTATGTGGCTGCGTTGACCCTGGACCTAAGAAAACACAATGGACCAACACCAGCAGATGACATGGCACCCCAAACCATCACTGACTGTGGAAACTTTACACTGGACTTCAAGCAACGTGGATGAAGTGCCTCTCTTCTTTTCCTCCAGACTCTGGGACCTTGATTTCCAAAGGAAATGCAAAATTTACTTTCATCAGAGAACATGACTTTGGACCACTCACCAGCAGTCCAGTCCTGTTTCTCTGTAGCCCAGGCGAGACGCTTCTGACGCTGTCTGTGGTTCAAGAGTGGCTTGACACAAGGAATGCGACAGCAGAAACCCATGTCTTTCATACGTCTGTGTGTGGTGGTTCTTGAAGCACTCACTCCAGCTGCAGTCCACTCTTTGTGAATCTCCCCCACATTTTTGAATGGGTTTTGTTTCACAATCCTCTCCAGGGTGCGGTTATCTCTCTTTCTTGTACATTTTTTTCGACCACATCTTTTCCTTCCCTTCGCCTCTCTATTAATGTGCTTGGACACAGAGCTCTGTGAACAGCCAGCCTCTTTAGCGATGACCTTTTGTGTCTTGCCCTCCTTGTGCAAGGTGTCGATGGTCGTCTTTTGGACAACTGTCAAGTCAGCAGTCTTCCCCATGATTGTGTAGCCTGTAGAACTAGACTGAAAGACCATTTAAAGGCCTTTGCAGGTGGTTTGAGTTAATTAGCTGATTAGAGTGTGGTACCAGGTGCCATCCATTTTGAACCTTTTCACAAGATTCTAATTTTCTGATATGCAGAATTTGAGATTTTCATTTGTTGTCATTTGTAATCATCAAAATTAAACGAAATAAACATTTGAAATATATGAGTTTGTATGTAWTGTATGAATATAATATACAAGTTTCACTTTTTAAATGGAATTACTGAAATAAATCTACTTTTTCATGATATTCTAATTTTATGACCAGCACCTGTATATACACTACAGGCTTATTGAAAAACTATCTTGTCTGTTTTCACTTTTTCTAGTACTGAATGAATTCAGAAAATCATCTTATTATTATTTTTTTAGGAAACTACCTTCAGGGAACCGGTGAAAGCTCTGTCAAAGGAAGAAATGGAATCTATGAGCCTTAAATATTACAACCCTGAAATTCACAAAGCATCATTCGTCCTCCCTGAGTTTGCGAGAAAGGTAAGTTGGGATTATTTGTTTTGCACGCAGCACCTACTGATATATAGAATTTTTAAAAAATGATGATTTATAGATGCTCAGGATGTACTCAATGTGTTTTTAAATTATTACCAGGTTCTCAACGAAGCCTGAGCTGCCCCAGCAGACATGCTCCTCCTCTGCCTGGCTCTGACCACAACCTTGTTCCATGACCTCTCAACATAGGACTCAAGAAAAGTCAGCTGGTGGGAACTCGCTGAGTTATTAGCTTGTCGGAGTTTCCTTCCTTCTGTCTTAACGTCTTTTTGCTGGTTTTTTTTCCTCTGTTTTGTTGTCCAATCAACAATCTGTGGATTGCAGTATGATAGGCCGGTCTGAGTGGGAAGACCATTGCTATCACAACCTGACCTCACTCTGGAAACAGTTTACCATTTTAATTGTTATGTTACTTATCATGTGGCGTATATCTTATACTGTACATGTGATGTTTTGCTGCATATTTGTCTGTGATGTTTGTGTTCAAATGAAAGTATGCAGTGTCCACTCACCATTACTGGGCATTCATGTTACTTATTCTGTAACACCAGAATCCTTTAGTGCCTGGTGTTTAGTACTACGTTACAGAAGGTAGGAAAAAACATATTATGTATCTGTCATAATATACCTGACAGAGTCCTGCACAAAATCTCAAGAGCTGAGAACATTTTATATCACCAACTTAATCTAAACACATTTAACAGATGAGCTTTGACCATTAAAATTAAAACAGCCTGTATAATTTCAAATTAAATAATAAAATTAGATGTGTTTATGGAGCTCTACAATGCAAGAAATGCCTTTTTTTTAAACAGTGAATTCATTATGCAATTATAGTTTGCAGGACTGGGTGTTAACCTCTGGTAGTATATTTGCATTGTAGTAAATCCATACTCTTACTACAGGATACTAATTGTTCCTCTTCAGAGGGAAATTGAATGCATCACCTTAGGTAGTAAATTAGCTTTTACATGAAATAACTATTTGTTAGGTCAGCAGTATGTTTGAGTCATGTCATACTTAGGCAATGAACTTGTTTTTATAAGACCTATGAATTCTAATAAAATTGGTAACAAACTTGATTTCCTTCCTCATGTTTTGGTCTTTCCAAGGGTTAATTAAAAAATGCCTTATCTCACTAGGTGGCAATGTGCACAACTTCTATAAAACCCTGACCAAATCGAAAATGTTGGAAAAATTGTGTATCACAGTCCAGCAACATGCAAATAAATGTATTTCAGTCCATTGTTGTGGATGAAATAAACGTCTTATTCTGTGGGCTGTATTAAAACAGCACTGATACTCTTTCACCACTAGGTGGCATCATTGAGTTTATTCTGGTTTAATCCATATCAACTGTCCAAAAAATAAAATATAGTTACAATATATATATTTTTAATTTTCAGGAATTTAATTGAAAAGCCTGAAGGCCACATGAAATAGTTCAGACTGTTGTTTCAGAGTGAAATGTCACAATTGCATCAACTGGAATCATTACTGAGGAAACTGTCAGCCTTCACTGGTTTTCTATTAAACCAGCCAGGACCAACACATTACTGTCATAGTGCATCAAAAGGTTGTTAGTTCCCAGCTGCATGATCTAATAGTTTACACTGAGGGTTCACATATATTAGCTGATATTTATTTTACTGATATTTCTGTTCAGTTGTTCCTTTCAAACAGTTGTTGACTAAATTTGGACCATACAGAACATGTTGCAAAAATAGGCAAGTTCATCTTAATAAAATTATCTAGAAGTACGAAGGCCAGTCATCATTCTGACATCGTGCACTGTTTGAAGTTCTGCCCTTAAGTTGTAGATTCTTCAAACATACTGAATTTACAATACTGTAACCGTTTCAACTGTCAGCTAATCTTTGGATTGGGCTCCGGGCTGTGCTCAGATCAGAAGCAAGTATCCCCAAAACTGTTATGAAAGCAGTACAAACCTAATTGAACATTTCAAACAAGGCAAAGTGGTATTAAGTACTCTATGTTCCCTGCCAGGGGCACACTAACAAAAAATACAGTCAACACTGTTAATTGTGCTGTTTTTGAAAATGGAGTCTGCAAGATTACCAGGATTTTCACAAATACTATCTTGTCTCAAAAAAGCACAAAACTGATATTTTATGCTATATTAAAACATTAATTGGTTTTGGTGAGCCAATTCTTTTAGCAGAGTAAATTAATTTTTGTTTTTAGTTTTGAACTATTTATTGAAGATTAGGTGGAAAAATGTCACAAATGAGATTTTAAAGTACTTTATTGTAGACATTTACATTTTTTAAATCTTAAATCTGTGCTGACAATCTGAATATGTGACTAAGTGATGTTATGTCAGCAGGTAACATATTCCAATAAGAGGTGGCTCTGTGTATATCGGTTTTTTGGAAAGTCCTAGTTTTAGGTGGAGACAAAGTAAATGTCACAGCAGAGGCCTGTCCTGTTTTAAAACCATGCCTGTTGCATGCAACAACTGAGAAAATAGGCGAAGGTGTTTATGGAATATCCAAGTTAAATGACTGTATATGAATTCTATCATCCACCTTAAACCATGATTGACTCCGTTGCATGAAATCCACACTGGTTCTAAAAACACAAACAAGTGCTAATCCTGCCGCTTTGTTTTGAACAATTTGCAGTTTATATCAATGCTTTTTCTTTTTGAGCAGGACAGTAGTCAAGATGATGTCAAAAAACTATTACCAATGTTCTTATTCCAGGAGACGTGAACTGGGCATTACTCCAAATTATAGCAATATTTCTACTCATTTTAGTCACTATCCTATGAATACAGTGGTTTGCAAAAGTATTCATACCCCTTGAACTTTTCCATATTTTGTCACATTACAACCACAAACATAAATATATTTCACTGGAATTTAATGTGAAAGACCAACACAAAGTGGTATAC